GTATGCGCATGGCAACCGTGCCCATCGCGTTTGTTGACGTCGACAACACCACCAACGGCAACACCAGCACCAGCACCAGCAGCGAGGGGGATACACACGCACTTTCGCGTGCAGGGAACACAGACGCCGATGTGGGTGCGATGACATCAGCAGCGACAACTGCAACGAACACAGCGACTGCCAGTGCGCCGTCTGTTGACGGTTTGAGCGCGGCGGAGAAGCGGAATGACGAAATCAACACCGGAATTCTTCTCCTGCACGGGCCGTTCTGTGAAGGCGCCGCAGAGGTGTTTGTGCCACGCCCACTCGACACAAGCAGGGTGCGTTGCTGCGGCGTGACGTGTGTTGATCAAACTGTGAGCGGGTGGGCGAGCAGTTGCGTGCATGTGGCGCACATTATGTTTTCACGTGTACTCACGTGTGACATTGACGTTGCTGATTTCCATACGATGTTGCGCCCTTGTCACACACAAACACACACACACACACACACGCAAACACACACACACACACACAAACACACACACACACACACACACACACGCACACACACGTGCCATCGCTTGTGCAGGTGCAACTGCCCCGTGGACTGCTGGATGAGGTTGGGGAGCAGCTGGCAGAGAACGTGCACGAGATCTGGTCAAAGGGGAAGATTGAGGACGGGTGGTCGTTTGCGGCCGTTCGTGACGACGGAGCGAAGAAGCACCCCATGCTGATTCCCTACGATGAGCTCTCAGACTCGGAGAAGGCATATGATCTTGACCTTGCTGTGGAGACTCTCAAAGTCCTTCAGGTGCGACGGAAGCGGGGTGGTTCGCTGTCGTGGTGTCTGTCATTATGGAGCAGGTTTCTCTGTCGCACGTGTGTTGGTGTTGTTGCTGAAACATCCGCATGATTGCTGTCACACAGCCCTGACTGACCCACTCAACCCGCAATTCTAACACACACACACACACACACACACACACACACACACACACACACACACACACACACACACACACACACACACACACACACACGGTGGACGACCTCGCAAAGACGGCTGCGTTGTTTTACTCTGGCCACGTGCCCCGCTATCTTCCGCTGGACCCGCGGCTGTACATTGTTGAGCACCAGCTCCACCCGCTCTCCTTCACCATCAAGCAGACGGCACTTGCAGAGCAGTCAGGTCAGCTTTTTCACGCTGTTGGTGGTGGTGGTGGTGGTGATGTTGTTGTTTGCTGCAGTTGTAGCTCATGCTCGTGCTGAAGTGTTGCTTGTTGTTGCTTCTTATTCTTCCTGTGTTTGATCATGCATGGTTTTTTGTGTTGCTTGTGGTGCAACTGTCCTCACGTGTGTCTGCACACACATGCGCACACACATACACATGCACACACACGCACACACACATGCACATGCACACACATGCACACACACACATGCACATGCACACACGTACATCCAACAATATCAGCTGGCATCCTGCCGCAGCCCTCGTTCCGGAGTTCGCTCGGTGTCCGGTTGAGCGGACTCTCGGGCCGGTTCGCCTTTGCCATCACCTTCAGCGTGGAGGACGACTTGGTGACGAGCTGGTTTGGGCTCACCACCGCCATCTTCATGCCAGGCTTTGAAGATGAGAGGTGAGCCCGAGGAGGGGGGGGGGGCGATACCAGATGGAAGCCGCTCGAGAGGGAGGTGGGGGAGGGGAAGATGGTTTCAACGTGGGTGATTGTAGCTGCACTGCTGGTGTGTCGAGTAATTTTGCGTGACAGATTGCTGTTGATTTGTTCCATGTACGTTGTTGTCTGTACTCACGCGGCACATGCCTGCCTGCTCAATCCACTCAACAGCAACGCGCGCGTGGTGGTGAAGCATGTGCAGAACACGCAGCAACACCAGCCAAAGCAGCAACAACAACAGCAGCAGCAGCAGCAAAAACAGCGGTCGGCTGCGCGTTCTGATCGCAGTCGCGGTCCCCTGACGCGCCTTCAACGCCGGCGCTTGTCGTCCTCTGTGGCCAGCTCCGCTTCCACGTCAGGCAACACTTCACCGCCAATGGCTGAGGAATCATCAGCACCGTCATCATCATTGTCTTCTTCGTCTCCACCCAACACGCGGACGGTGGATGCACGCCAGGGGCTGTTGTTTGAAGGAGCGAGCGTGTTGCGTCATGCAGCTGTTGTTGCAGCCGTGCGAGACCACCGCCCTCTGCGGTTCATCATCGAGCTCAACATTGATGCGCGCACGGCGACGCTGTCGCTGGATGGGCGCACGGTTGCAACACGACACATCAGCAACCGCGTGCAGGGTGCCCTGTACCCGTTCTGCTCGCTGGATCCAAGCAGACACACTGCGCTTCGCATCGACTTTGCGCCTGAGGGGCTTCTTGCCCCCGTTGGTCCGCTGTCACGGGCAATGGTGGCCACTGCACTGGACAGCCCAACACCACACGCATACACACGCACCACGTGCAGCACTGATGTCCTGAACACTGGCAGTGGCCATACTGCTCAAGCTGGTGCCGATGGTGATGGCGGTCGTGGTGGCGGTCGTGGCGATGGTGACGGTGATGATGATGATGATGATGAAGGGGACAGTGGTTTGTTGCTCATCAGCCAAACGCGGTCCAGCACGGCTGAGGAGAGCACAGGCGACACCATGAACAGCGGCGCAGCTGACGATGAATATGTGTTGCCGCGCAATCTCACGCTGTTCCTGCTGCGCACAGACGCGTGGGAGCCCGTACACCCACAGCCTTCGCACTCGACAGCAAGAGCAACTGCCGCAGACGTCTTCACGACTGGGCATCAAGCACGCAGCGGTGGCGATGGCGAGAATTCAGCGCACGGCGGTGGCGATGACGCGGGTGTGTCCGGTGCATGTAAGGTGGTGGACGCGTCGTTCCACTGCCGTGTCGGCATGGCGGCCGCACGTGCGCTTGTGTTCTCAGTTCCCCTCATGGGGCGGGTTGATGCGCAGTCGCTGTTGGAGGAACCCCGCTTGGCAGAGTACGCGGCAGAGACCATCAACCTCCTGGGAAAAGTATAACACACGTGCTTGCTTGCTTTTTCGCTTGTTCGCTTAGTTGTGCGAGGGATGTGTTTGTTGCCTATTGGAGCATGCTGACGTGATGCATGCGTGTACACAAATGTGTATTTGTGTGTGTGTGCGTGTGTGTATGGACATCAGAGGCATGTGTGTGCAGATTGCAACTGTCATGCTGTGCTCATCATACGTTCCCACCTCACCCCAACATCGCATGTTCAGGTGTGTGCACACGGTAACGATACCGCCATCCAGCTTGTCTCGCGCGTGTTCACGCCAGACATCATGCACGCAACGGTCAGCAGCCAGTACACCGACAGCCGTGTTCGCCTAGCGGCCTGGGACCTCCTCTTTGAAGTGAGTCGATGTGTTCATGTGTGCGTGTGTGTGTGTGTGGGTTCATGTACGCGCAAATGGTTGTGCTTTTGTTATTGCGTGTTGTTTTTATGAGATTGCGTTTGTTCTTGGGATGACGGGTGTGTGTGTGTGTGTGTTTGTGCGTGTTTGTGTGTGTGTGCGTTTGTGTGCGTGTGTGTGCGTGTGTGTGTGTGTGTAGTTGTTGCGGACAATTGTGCCACGACTGTGAATGCTCACATGATTCCCCTCCCCCTCTCTCTTGTCCTTCACCACCGTGTTCCCTTCCTGCCACAGATGCACGACTCACGCCGCCACGTCAATAAAGGCGGCCCGTTCATTGTTCCCTGGCAGGACGACGCAAGCAAACGTAGACGCATGTCACTCCACTCTCTCAAGAAGGTGTGTTGTGCGTTTTGTTTGGGTGTCTTGTGTTTTTTTTTTTTTTTTTTTTTTGGGGGGGGGGGGGTTGCTGATGTTGCGCGAATCACGTACACATGCGATGGAAACAGCTCACTGCGTCTTATTACACAAACACACACACACACACACACAACGCACACACACACACACAACGCACACTGTATGTATACACAACATCCATGCACACTCACTGACATACGATCTCGTACATACACGCGCTTGCAGTCACGACAGCTTGAGCAGTTGCGGGTTCAGCGCGACCAGCAAGAACAGCAGCCACTGCGCACAAGAAGAGGGGCAGCAGCGACAGCGCAGACCAGCCCACAGATGGAATCGTTCTCGTTTGGCATGATGAAACAGGCTGCACTGGATGGACTGAAGCTTGAATTGCTGCGAGCAACACAGGCAGGCGGCGTGTGCTTTTCGCTGCAGCAGACCATCATTGCACGCCTGCTGCTGGTTTGCAGCCGGTTCATGCGCATGATGCTGTTCGAGGAGCGAGACATGCTGTGCTTGCTCCGTCTGATTGACGCAACCCGCTTTGCTGGCACCAACAACAGCACCGACAACGCCAACAATGCAAGCTGCAACAACGCTGGCAACAACAGTGCAAGCAACAACAACGCCGGCAACAGCAGTAGCAGCAATGTGTTGGTGTCAAGCCCTGACATTGGGTTGAACCTCATCGGCGTTGCACAGATCAAGGTGGGCAGCATTGCAAACACACTGGCGCATGTTTTGCGTCGGATGTCGTGCGTGTGTGTGTTTTGAAAGTCCTGTGCTGATTGCGTCATGTGCAACCTCTGCAAGGTGTGTTGGCTCATTTGGTATTGTCGCATCTTAACCCCCACTCTCCTCTTTCGCTGTCCGCTTGGATGTCAAATGCCGCGCAGGGCCTGAGTGACGCGGTGAAGACGGCGATGGTGGTGTTGTTCCACGACTTTTGCGACATCTTCATGGAGCGGTGGCTGCTTGATCTCGTGTCATGCGGTGTCACGTTCCTCTCAACGGCAGCGGACCTGCAGCAGCAGCGCGCACACAACATGCACCTGCACGAATCAAAGCTCGATGTGGAGATGCGCAAGCCCGTCGCACAACAGGTGATGTGTTGCGCTGCGTTGCGTCCCAGACACGTGAATTGGCAACAAGATGCATGTTTGACCCACACACGCGCCTTGTCCTGCACATGTCCACACGCACACACGCTAACATGCATGTACGCTGAGATGCTCGTACACGCTCTGACACACGTGTACGTGGTGTCTGTCACTCACATACGCGCACGCTCACGATTGCATCTCTGTGTGTACAGATTGAAGGGTTTGTTGGCACAAGGGGTGCACCTGTGCGGATGAGCGCTGATGATGGTGGAACAGATGACACACGCGCGCAAATCAACAGTCAGCGGCTTGTGCTGTGGAAGCAGCTGAAGTCATTCTACTCCACGTGGATCCACCAAGTTCGTTCCCGTAATTGCGTCGCCCTCACATACACACACGCACATACACACATAGAGACACACATATTCGTACAATGCGTTGGTCATCGAGCACACCCACATAAGTATGCACTTTATTCTCCAACTGATGCTCACGCTAATCAATGTTGCATTTGTGTCGACAGAGAAGCGGGTGGCAGCGGTCGCTTGGCGAGCTCATCACGGACAGCACAACAGCGTGGATGCAGGTGATACGCCGTGTGCTTCAAACATGCCATTCTCCTCCTTGCCTCGCGCACTCATTTGCTCATTCCCTACATGTCCCTCCTTCCCACAGCCTCGACGCTGCGTGAAATGCATGTCTCTGTTCACATCTCACACAACTCCCTCCTCCCTCCCCCCAAAAAACAAAAACAAAAAAATACCAATCTCACTTCCATGTCTACCATCATGTTTCAAATGATCACCAGGATCCGAGGTCGCACCAGCGCCTGGTGTATCTGTGCTCGTGGCTCCTGTACCGACAGCATAGCACCGTGCAGGAAGCCCTCGACATTCTGCCCAACTTCTATCTCCTCAGCACCGCGGCGGAGCCCGTGCGCGTGATGGAGATGGTGGAAGAGCTTCACCTTCGCCTCACATGCCTGATGACGGAGGAGGAAGAGGTCAGGGTCGTCTCGCTGCTGCGTGCACTCACGCGCTCTCCAATCCGCGCCACGCACCCGGACATTCTGCGAAGTCTCGACTGCCACACGCTTGCTGTGCGCGTCATTCACTATGCTGTTCGCCACGGTAGCGCCGCGCAGCGGTTTGAGCTGGTGCACGCTGCATGTCGCTTTCTCGTGCGGTTCTGTCGCACCCACGCCATGTCCGGTAGCATGGGCAACCAGGCAGCCCTCTTCCCCCACTTTACAGGCCTCCTTGACCTCCTCCTCGCCAACCCAGACTACATCTTTGACGGTGTGTGTGCGTGCGTGCGTGCGTGTATTGTGTGTGTGTTTGGACTTTGTTCTTGGCGTGTGTGAATACTTGTATTTTGTGTGTGTGTGTGTGTGGGTGTGCTTGGACTTTGTTCTTGGCGTGTGTGAATACTTGTATTTTGTGTGTGTGTGTGTGTGTGTGTGTGTGTGTGTGTGTGTGTGTGTGTGCGCGCCCGTGCTTTTTTTTTTTGTTTGTTATGTGTATCCCTTGCTCGAGTCAAACATGGCAGACGTCAGCTGACCAACTCGTTGTTTTACAGATGAGGCCTTTGCCGCTTTGGAGGAAAGTACGTCCGGCAGCGTGCCGTTTGTGGTCGACGTTCTCATCGAGATTGTCAGGTGTGTTCGGGTCGTATGTGTGTGCGTGTGCGAATACCTTGCTTGTGTGTGTGTGTGTGTGTGTGTGTGCGCGCGAGCTTCTTGCTTGTATGTATGTGTGTGTGCATGGCTCTGTTTGTTGTCTCGCCCTCACCCATCCAACACGTTCCTCCTCTCCTCGTTGTATGTGCAGGGACAACGCGCACCTCTCGTCGCAGGTGCAGCTGGAAACAATCGACCACATCATCGACCTGCTCGAAGCAAGCCTGTCCTCGGAGGTTGTAGATGGCGAAAAGGTCACCGTCGTCACGTCGTTTGGCAGCAGCCGCCTGCTCTCGCTCCTGAAGCACATTGTCAACGTGCAGGGCCAGCCACTCGATATCGGCGCATCCATGGTCCTGCGATCACTCACGCGCAAGGTACGCGCGCACGTGGTGCATGTGTATGTGTGCGTGTGTACGTGTATGTGTGCATGTGTGTGCAAGTATGCGTGTGTGTGCTTGTGTTTGTATTGAAGTGTATCAGCTGCAATTCCTGCCTCGACGTGTCACAGCTTCATCTTCCCACTCATGCTCGTGCTGCTGGCACAAACCCGCGTGCTGTGCAGGTGCAATGCCTTCAGCCGGCGTTTGCGGCCAACGCCACGTCTCGCCTCCTGTCAGAGATGCGCGGACCAGAGACGATTATCACGCCAACCATACGGTGTGTGCTTCGTGCATGTGGGTATTCATATGTGTTCGTGCGTGTGTGCGCAGACATCAGTACGTAGGCGAACGTTTGTTCGCATGTGCTGTTTGCGTGCGTTTGTAGTCCCGATTCACCATTTTTTGTTCCTCCTCACTCACACTCACACGCACGCACACTCACACACTCACTCACTCACTCACACTCACTCACACACACGCACACGTACGCACACACGCGCGCGCGCACTCACGACCTCTCTTCGCAATCCCTCCCACGCAACACCATCGCCAGGTACCACGTGGACCTGGTGGAGCTGCTTGCAGCGTGTGCGGAGACGCCTCTGCATGAATTGAGCGCCAGCTCGTCAACAGCAGCCGTATCTTCAGCATCACGTCGCAGTGGTGTGTCAACGGCAGGTGCCCAGCCTTCGTTTACGACCCGCAATGGTGATGAGAGCAGCAAAACTGCCATGCTTGCCATGGATGCTGACACTCAGCTTTCAGGCATACCAGGCGTGGCGGGCAAAGCAAAGGCCCACCGCCCGCCGCTGCACTCGCTCTCGTGGCTGAGCAGCTCAGCACGAGCAACGCCAGTGCCAGGCAGCCAGCCCACAGCGGCAGCAATGCCCACCATCACAACAGCAGGGGCCCGCGGCACTGGGCTCGCCCTGCAGTCCAAGCTGAACAACCGGAGGGCGGTGGTCTCGTCTGCTGTTCGCTTCCCGCTCACCAAGGCACCATCGCTTGCTGCACATTCACTCAGTGGCGGCGATGATGACGACGACTCCCATCATCACCACCACCACCACCAACACGACGGCCCCGCGTCTGGTCAAGACGGCACGTCAGCGGGCTCGGGCAGTGGCAGTGGCGAGGACAGCGCACAGCAGCAGGGCCAGCAGCATGATGGCCGGGACAAGGGCGAGGCTTCCACGATGAAGTCTGCTGTGCATGCGGTGGCGGCAGCGGCACACGAGAGCACGCAGACGGTGCTGCGGACCCTTCTTCCGCAATCTAGCCTTGAAGACATTTTGCGCTCGCCGGTGACCCCGCAGGCCATCAAGACGCCGTTTTTCAACTTCTTCCTGGCCGTGTTCAAGGTGGTGGACCAGGCACAGCTCTTTGACCTCGTGCGCCACGTCATTCTGCCGGACATTCACGCGGCAATGAAGGAAATCGATCCCAACGATGGTGACGAGGAGAATGGCAGTGGTCGTGATGGTGCTGACAACACCACCACTGCCACCGCCACTACCACCACCACCACCACATCCGCAACGACAGCAGGAACAGCAGCATCAGCAACATCAGCACGCACCGCAGCGTCATCGTCGGCAGCGGCACCAGCAGCATCGAGCACTGCAACTGCACAAGGGGCAGCAACGGGCGAAGGCACAGTCAGCCCGCTGTCTCGCAGCTCCAGCGTGTGCAGCCTGTCATTCTTGGCCATTGCTGCGCAGTGCCCGATCAAGCACATGTTCAAGGTCACGCTGCCCTTCCTGTACCGCCACGGTGCCCTGTTTGCCAACAGCGAGGAGTATGCCTCTCTGGTGGAGGACGTGATTACAAACCTGGTCAAGTGCGCACCGCTCGTCGGCAAGAACCTCAAGCGCACGCGTGACCTGAACCTGTGCGTGTCCACGCTGCTTCGCTACTCCAACCCGCGCTCCCTCGTGCGGTTCCTCCGCTCTGCCGTGCGCTGCCTGCGCCACGACCTCTTCAGCCCCATGTCACTGTGCCTGCTGCGCGTGCTGCGTGACTTTTACACCGCCCACGCAGACTACTACCGTGGTGCGTCGTCCTACACGCCCGTGTTCCGCAGACAGGCCGACACCGACGCGGCTGCACGTGACACAGGCAACTTCCCCTTTGCAGCAGCGGCGCGCGCTTCCTCCTCGTCACCCGGCCCCAACACATCCGGACAGCAGCAGCCGCTATTGGCGTTTGACATCAGCGGTGGCGGCGGTGACGGCAGCGGCAGGAGCACGCCGCTGCCCGGACCAGAGGTGTATGGCGTTGCTGGCGATGACTGCATTGAGGTGAGCATGGCTGCGTTTGTGGAGGTGTGGCAAGCAGCGCTGCACACACATCGCAACCTGGACAAGGCGCCCGCCAACTACACGGATCCGCTGCGCACGCTGGTGCTCGAATGCCTGTCATCCGTGGCGGCTGCTGTTGGCCCGGCCATGCACACGCAGATGGTGGCTGGCGAGAAGCGGTGGCTGCAGCGCGATCCCCGCGGCCCGTACCGCCCCGCACCGGTTGACACGTCGCACATCACCCTGACGGAGGACCTGGAGGCGCTTGTGGACGCTTTTGCCAAGCGCTCGCACGAGCTGTGGGCGCTGGCGAAGATTCGCCAGGGGTGGGCCTATGGTCCACAGCGCGACGACAGTCGGAAGAAACATCCGCTGCTTCGCCCATACGAGGAGCTGGCGGAAGAGGATAAGGCATACAACCGCGAGACGAGCCGGGAACAGGTGAAGGTGATTATGGCCCTTGGCTGGACCATCAAGAAAGCAGACAGCTTCACGCTTCAGCGGCAGCGCGCGGCACGGCTGGCCGCCACGCCATCGGAGCAAGAGCGCTCTCGCCAGCACCAGGGCGGCGGGAATGGTGGTGACAACGACGATGATGACGACTCTGCTGGTGAAGAGCAGACGAGTGGCACTGCCGGTGCAGCAAGCAACGCACCTTTAGCGTCTGGCACGACGACGGCGAGCGCCACCCCAACCACGCTCTCTCGCAGTGGGAGTGGCGGCCGTGGGCTGACGGGCCCTCTGTCTCGCTCCGCATCCGCTCGCATCAGCAGGCACCTGGAGGATGACGATGATGATGACGACGATGACGATGCCGACGAAGATGGCAATCACGGTGGCGGAAGCGGCTCGGCCCATGGTCCTGGTGGTGGCCGGGATGCAACGCGGTCCATTGCATCATCCGCGCCAACCACGTCATCGCCGTCACCAGCACCGGCCCTGCCGCCCTCGCAGTCGTGGCGGCCACAGCCCGTGAACCTCTCTGGCATCCGGCTGAGCGAGGATGTGCTTGCAGTGCGAGAGCAGCTCGCAGAGAACTCGCACGACGTGTGGGCGGTCAAGAAATTGCAGCAGCTGCGCAGTACGGGGCAGCGCCACCCCGACCTCATGCCATACGATCAGCTCACCGACGAGCAGAAGGCGTACGATCGTGACTCCAGTGCAGAGACGCTTCGATACCTCATTGCCAGCGGATATGAGCTCACGCGCCGCACGAAGACGACGCGCAAGGGCGTGCGCTTTGCGCTCATGCTGCTTCGGCTGGTTGCTGCCGTGGTGGTTGGCGCTGATGTGAGCGCAGAGCAGGCAGCGGCCGACGGGTTTTCCTGGCCCTCGCGCGTGCGTGTGCATGACGACAACGACGAGACGTGGCCGCAGGCAGTTGTGGATGAGCTCACGTGCACGAGCCACGCACCGCGGCGCACGCCAACACCCCCCTCTTCCACGGGTGGCGGTGGCGATGAGGAGGAGGAAGAAGGGTCTCGCTCCCTCCCTCGCATCCGCCCCCAGCGCCGGCGGTCACGGCAGCAGGGTGTAGCGCACGAAGCACGCGCGAAAGGCACGACAGGTACACAGGGCAATGCGGTGGTGGATTGGCAGCGGCGCAGCAAGCAGTTGCGGTGGTTTGTGCTGCCACTGCTGCAGCGTGTGCTGGAGTGCTTCCGCGAACACCTACTGCCAGCGACACGCTACACGCATGGCGGCGTCCCCGAGCCAGAGCACCGCATGCTGGCCCTGCTCGTGCAGGAGCTGTTGCGCAGCACGGCGCACATTGACGACGTGAACATGGTGCGCGGGTCGCTGGTGGCCATCGTTCGCAGCTTCTACCTCTCTGCGGCGCCCTCTGACGATGCTGAGAATGACGAAGACACGCCTGAAGCACCAGCACCAGCAGCATCGAAGCTCTCGCTCTCAACAACAGCACCAGCAACGGGATCAGCAACACCAACAGGCGCAGCAGGAACAGCAGCAGCAGGAACAACGACTGGTTCGTCGTCAAGTCTTATGAAGAGCGCCTCGACGGGCGGGACAACACGGAGACGAAAGCGCCCATCCTTCGCATCTGCCATGAATGCGCTCCGTCTCGTGCGCTCACGGACATCACCGCGGTCCCGTCGCCGCCGCTTTGGAAGCGGCATGCAGCCGGCGGAGGGTGCTGGTGTTGCCTCGCAGTTTCACGCGCAGCTGGCAGCGTCGCCCACGGCGCAGGGCCATCCACCGGTTGTGAACCAGCTGCTTAAGGCATGCGCTGAGCTGTTCTCGCAGTTCCTGCACCGATGCGGTGACGTGCATGTGCCATCGCAGCGACACGCCACACGGTCCCCGCCTGCAACAAACGAGCACTCTGCGTCAGCACAAAGCACAAACACTGGCGACACAGCAGGAGCAACAGCAGCACGCGGCGGCAATGAAGGCGACGATGATCACGAAGCCGTGCGCCAGCGCCTTGCACGCGTGTGTGCATCGGTGGTACTGCCCATGCTGCGGGCGTTCTTTGAAACCCACGGGGGCGCCACGTGTCTGCTGTGTGACGTTGCAGACTCGCACATGCGTACGGTGCTTCATGCATGCAGCAACCCGGTGTTGCTGACAAAGCTGTCTGCCCTGGATACCTCTGTGCACTCCTCTGCTCGCTCATGTCTCTTTCACGTGTCGCGCTGCATCCCTACACCGTTCACGCCAGACCTCAACACGAACCACGCTCGCCATGGCGATGGCAGTGATGTCGATGATGCCGATGATGATGATGATCGTGGTGATGGTGTTGATGATGAAGAGGACGCTTTGCCGACCACGGTGGATGGTGCTGTTGCGATGCTGGAAAGTGTTGCAGACTCGCGCCACCTGGAAAGTTCACAGGCAGGGCGGCTGCTGCGCCTTGTGCCCATGCTGTGCGGGCATTTGACGCGGTTCACATCGAGTTCTGGTGACTCTGCTCCCGTGCACACGCTGGAGACAACGGCCACGCTGCTCACGCGCATGCACATGCGGCTGTCGGGCAACAGCGACACGCGCCACCTTGCACGGCAGCTCACGCCGTTTGTTCAGGCGGTGCTGCGTATGCCCAGCTTCAACTTGGACCTGTACCTGTTCTCTGCTGTGACCACCGCGGCACTATCTGTAATTGACCGCGCCCCGGAGTACGAAGGCCTTCCCCACGCCACATCCGATGAGCAGCTCAAAGAAAGCACGGCACACCTCATGACCGCACTGCCGCTCATGGCATCCTACCTGCAGGTGTGTTGTGTGTGTGTGTGTTTGTTTGTTTTGTGTGTGTGTGTGTGTGTGCGTGCGTGTGTGTATTTGTTTGGTTGTTTGTTTGTGTGCATGTTTTTTTGGTTTTTTTTGTGTATGTGGGTGTGTATTTGTTTGTGTAAGTGTGCGCGTGTGTGTGTGTGTGGGGGGGGGGGGTTCCGTGTCTGCCGTGCCCGAGTAGGCAGTTTGACCTCAACTGCGCATGCGCAAGCGCATGCTCATAACATCTTTCTCTGCTTGTTTGAACAGGCGCGTGTTGAGCGTTACAGCCTGCTGATGCAAAACCATCCAACCATGCTGAAGCCAACAGCACAGGTGATGCTTCCAGCACCAACCATTCGATGTGGCTTGCTCGCTTGCACGTGTACATTGTGAAATGGTTGTGCAGTTTGAGTGCTCGTTGTTACCCATTCTCATGTCTCACCGCCACCTCACTGGCTGCTGCCTCTGTTGTGTTGTTGCTCTGTAGGATTTGGTACGCTTCCCCGTTGCCGCGCGCTTGAGTCAGGCGTGCGTCAGCATCCTCAATGTGTACACTCTCAAGCAAGGTTTGTCCCGTACATGTGATGAATTGGCTGACGTGGGCGGACACTTACAGTTTGTGCTGTTCACACACGCACGTACACAAACACTCGTGTATCCACATACACACACATATACTCACACACTCACACACACACACATGTCACTTCATCCGTCGCCCCCCCCCCCCGATTCAGACGTGAGCGGCATCGGGCATGCCTTCCGCTCAACGTGCAGCGCTGCGGAAGTGGACGCGAACACCACGGTGCGCGGGGGCATAAGCGCGATCGTGTGTGTGCGTGTGTGTGTGTGCGTGTGTGTGCGTGTGTGTGTGTGTGTGCGTTTGCGTGCACGTCAATGCCCACTTCCTCACGCCCTCGCATGGTTTTGTTTTGTATGCGCAGGTGTTTGTGCAATTGTGCCGGGAGAAGCTATCCCCTGAGGAGCTGCTTGCTCTCCGTCGAACATCGCAGCGCTTCAAGGACGCAAAGGCGGATCCAGCGCAGGTCAGCCACTGCCACCACGCAATGCGCCAGCACGGGATGCTTCTACCCACGCACTGTCCTTGCTCTTTGTGACATGAGCACTTACTCACACCAGTTTGCTTGTTGCACCGCCTGTTGTTTTTCCATGTTCCTTTGTATCAGGTTCGCGCGTGCATTTCACGCATGCTGGAGAGCACGAAGCAATCGACATCATCGTCAGCATCATCGTCTTCAACGTCGTCGTCAGCGGCCAGTACCACAGCACGCCAGTCGCGCTTCTCGGCCTCCATCACACTGCGGAACACAGAGCCGGCGGCGCCGCAAGCCGCCCGCGTGCTGTTCCTGTGGCAGCTGATGCGCGCGTACCGTGTGCTGAAGCGACGCCAAGAGCAGCGCGCAAGCAGGGGCGGGGCACCACGCACTGCGGGCATGTGGCGACGCGCTCTTGTGATGCAGCAGAAGAAGCACATTCTCGACTGCTTACGCATGGTGCCGTTCTACCGCAGCTTTGAGCGCTCCCAGACAGACAGCATCAGGCACTTTATCAGGTGTGTGTTGTGTTGTTGCGTGCGTGTGTGTGTGCTGCGTGTTGTGTTGTTGCGTGCATGCGTTCCTGTGTGTGTGTGTGTGTATGTGTGCGTGTGTGAGCGGTTTTTTGATGCAGTCTTGCTGTTATGTGCATGATATCTGCTGCCTTTGTCTTGTGTGTCTGCGTCTTTGAGTTTGCTCTCACATTTGCCTGGCAACAATGATGTCGCATGGTATACAGGGCGTTCCATGACGCGTGGCTGGGAACGGAGGAGACAATTCGCGTGAATGCAATGAACCAGCAGCTGGAAAGCGCGTCAAACATGTCTCGCCCTCTTCCTCTCACTGAAGGCGATCGCGGTGACGCCCTGTTGCGGCTCATCAACATGCTCACCGCTCTCGTCACAGAAGGTGCGATGCGTGCGCCGGTGTTGCTTTGTGCTGTGTTGTCGTAGATGGTGTGTGTGTGTGTGTGTTGTGTGTGTGTGTGTGTTGTGTGTGTGTTGTGTGTTGTGCGTGTCGTCTTTGTTTCGTTTAGTGTGGGTTCTTCGTTCGTGTGGCATGCCTAGCACTGGCACGCACATGTGCTTCTTCGATTCCCTTCTTGACATAACCTCACTGTTGTGTCACGTGTTTTCTGTGTCAACGTGTAGAAGAAAACTTTGGCGTGCCCGCGGCCGACAAGCACCGTGTGTTTGTCAACTTATTGCAGGCGCTCAGCAAGCGCTGTGACTGGCGCGATGAGTACAGCATGGACCTGGTCGAAGGTGTGTCAAAAGTCAAAAGGTTGCGCAAGTGTGTGTGTGTGTGTGTGCGCGTGCGTGCGTGCGTGCGTGCTTGCGTGCGTGTATGTGTGTGCGTGCGTGCGTGTATGTGTGTGTGTGCGTGCGTACAAGTATATTTGCACAAACTTGCATAGGAGACAACGTCACGCGACCTCGCAGTGAGGCAACACGCCATGTCCATCTCACACCACCGCTTGCAACCACTTGACCATCATACCATCGCATCACGATGCCCACTCCTCTCGACAGGCGACGATGACCTTGACGACTACGGAGACGGCGCCAGCACGGAATCAGCGCTTGTTGAGCAGCGCCGGGAGACGAGGGAGAGGAGACAGAATCAGCTCGCAGAGAGGGGCGCGTGCCGTCTCGTCGCTCGCGGCATTGCGGCGTTTGCCCAGTCAAAGTCGAGGTGTGTGTGTGTGTGTGTGTGTGTGTGTGTGTGTGTGTGTGTGTGTGTGTGTGTGTGTGTGTGTGTGTGTGTGTGTGTGTGTGTGTGCGTTTTGTTCCGTCATGGTGAAATGCTCACTCTTGAAGCACATCCCACCTGCAATGGCCCATCCACACACAGCGGTTCTTCACGGATGACTCTGTTAACACACTGTGTATCTGTGCCTGTTTTCGCCCGTGATTGCTGCTCTGAATGCTCTCATGTCTGCGTGCAACCGTGTTTCATGTATGCAGACACCGGCATGTATCGTGAGTGCTTGAGCCTGGTCGATGTTGCTGCGAATGTCGCAGCCAACACACCATACACGAGCTATTGCTGTCCTTCCGCCATGCTCCCGTCCGCCCTCACGCCCCCATCCACCCATTCATCCATTGTTTTTTTTTTTGTTCCGCCGCGACGTCACCATCACTACCACCAACGACAGGAGTTCCGGGCCAACACGCTGCAGCCTGCGATGGACTGCGCCCTGAAGCTGGTGATTGTGTTCACGCAACTGCGGCAGCTTGGCGATGCCGCTGTCAACACCGAGCTCGCAACCTTCCTCCAGCCAGGATCAGCAGGTGCGCGTGTGTGTGCGTGTGTGTGTGTGTGTGTGTGTGTGTGTGTGTGTGTGTGTGTGTGTGTGTGTGTGTGTGTGTGTGTGTGTGTGTTGTGTGTGTGTGTGTGTGTGTGTGCGTGTGCGTGTGTGTTCGTGCCCACCCCCTTCTCTTCATCTCAAATCCAACTGTCTCGGCGACTGTTCACGCTGCCCAAACACGCAATCTCACATCAAACACACATGAACGTCCCCAATGCCCTCCACCCCATGAACGACTTCATACGGCAGGCAAGCTGCTGATGCGGCACTTTGAGAAGGAGCTTGCGGTGGTTGAGATTGTGGGCAAGAGCGGGCGCGTTGAACGTGTGTTCTTCCCCGTCGATCCATCGCAGCTTGCACTGTACTTTGCGCCGGAGGTACAAGAGACAAAGGCGGCGTTTTTGCGCACTGTCGAGAGGGAGAACACGAAGCTCAAGCACATTCAGTTTGTTGATTTCTGCGAAGACACCATCTTCGCCATGAAGCAGACGACGCAACTTCTTGGTGCACCAGGGTGAGCATGGGTATTGCAGCATTGGGGTGTTGGTGATGCTGCTGGTGATATTGGTGGTGGTGGTCCGATAATTCTTGAATGGTGATGCATCTGACATCCGTTACCTGTGTGCATTACTCACCCTTGCTGCACTTTCTACTTGATGCTTGCGCTCCTACTCCTTCCCGCGCTGACATTCGTCCTCCGGCCACTGCTGTCACCCTGTCATCGCCGTCATCAGCGACAACACCGGCGCTTCTGCGCTGGGCGACTTGGCCCATGAACGAAGGCATTCCTTTTGGTGCGTACGTGTGTGTGTGTGTGTGTGCATGCATGTGTGTGTATGTGTGTGTGTGTGTGTGCGAGAGAGAGACAGGCAGAGACAGAGACAGGCAGAGACAGAGACAGGCAGAGACAGAGAGAGACAGAGAGAGAGAGGACACACACAGAGCGAGAGCGAGAGAGCGGAGACAGAGTGCGTGTACAGATTTCTATGTTTGTATGTATGTCCCTGTGCGTCGCTCTGGTGCGCCTGTCCGCACTGCTAACGTCTAGATCCCTCATGACTGGTTCTGTTGGCAGGCGGTTCGAGAAGACAGCGACGGCATGGTTACGCGTGTCCTCGTTCCTTGCCAACTACCACAGCGTGTTCCGCACCGCGGCCTTTGCCATCGTGCTTGCCATCAACATCAGCCTTTTGTACTACGAGGGCCGACCGACGAAGCAGGCGTCATCAACAGCACAGCGGTTCCTGCAGTGGTGTTTGCCCACCATGACGTCTGCCCATGTCCTCCTCTCCTTCCTCCTCCTCATCGCCTTCATCATGCTCAGGGTGCGTGTGCGTGTTGTGTATTGTGTGTGCGTGTTGTGTATTGTGTGTGCGTGTTGCGTGTTGCGTGTTGTGTGTGTGCGTGCGTGTGGGTGCGTGCGTGCGTGTGTGTGTGTGTGTGTGTGTGTGTGTGTGTGTGTGTGTGTGTGTGCGTGCGTGCGTGTTGTGTGTGTATTTGCGTTTTCATGTTGTGTCTGTGCATATTGTGTCTGTGCATGTGTGTTGTGCGCGTTCGTGTTTGCAGCCATGTGCATTCGTGTGTGCAGTCATGTGCATTCGTGTTTGCAACCATGTGCCTTCGTGTTTGCAACCATGTGCATTCGTTTGCACTCATGCACCTGCGCACATATGCGTGCGTGTGCTTCCCTCCACGCTCGCTCACATACGAACATACACGTGCACGTGCCGTTTTGTGCTGGAACAGGTGCCGATGATTCTGTTCAAGCACGAGAAGCAGATTGTCCGCCACTTGCGGGAGGTTGACGTCGAGTGGATGTCGGACAGGCCGGTGCGTTGTTTTCATCGGGTATCTTGGCGACGGTGGTGGCACAAGTGTTGGTCGTATGTTCACGTGCCTCTCTCCACAAGTACATGCTCGCTGTTTTCATGCATCCATTCCTTGTACACACACACACACTTACACAAGCACACACTTACACACGCGTACGCAGACGCTGAGAGGCATGTTTGATGTGGACGCGCTGTCCCGTGTGTGGCACAACCTGGCGCTGACGTCACGGAGTTTCCCGATGATTTATCACGATCCAGACGCACGCGAATACGCGCTGGAGCAAGCGCACAACGAAGGCGTGGACGTTGACGGGCTGATTCCGCCACTGCGCGACGGCGATGGCAAACACGTCTACTACATGTGGGCACTGGGCCTCGTGCTGACCAACTCTGCGTTCATGTACCGCGTGTTCTATCTCCTGTTCAGCGTGATTGGCGCGGCGTCCACGCCGTTCCTGTTCGCTGTCCATCTTCTGGACATTGCGCTGCAGAACCAGGTGCTGTTCAACGTGCTGCAGTCTGTCGTGCACAACGGGCGGCAGCTGCTTATCACCATCGCCTTCACCGTCTGTGTCATCTACATCTACACCGTGATCGCCTTCAACTTCTTCCGCGTGTTCTTTGAGAAGGATGACAAGAACATGTGTGCGTCCATGCTCGAGTGCTTCGTCTTCATGATCAACGCGGTGAGGATGGATGGCATGCGTGCATGGAAGGGGAGCGAGGGAGGACAGAAGGTTGTATGTGTGATGCGTGTACTTGTGTGTTTTGGAGAGGGGGGAGGGCATGTTGTGTGCCATTTCTGCGACGTTGGAAAGCTGAAGTGCGTCTGTTGTGTGGTGTGTTGTTCACCTCATTCACACTTTATTCCTGTGTGTGTGCATGTGATCAGGGTCTGCGCTCTGGTGGTGGCATTGGCGACGAACTCGGTAATGACCATACGCACACGCCCACGCACACGTGCTTGATTGAGCCTTCACCTCGCATCATGTCAAACGCAACTGTTGCTGGTGCTTGTGCTGATTCTTGCGCTGGTGTTTATTTTCCCTCTTCGTGGCACTGTTCATCGTGTTCGGTGTCAACGGTTGTGAGTACGGCAATGCAACGTGACCTCCACTCCCCCACCGCTTTCGTGCAACTGTTGCAGAGCCTGCGACGGGACACGAGCTTGAGTCATACCGCATCATGTTCGACATCACGTTCTTCTTTGTCGTCATCATCATTCTCCTGGCCATCGTGCAGGTGCGTGTTTGTTTGTTTGTTTGTTTGTTTGTTTGTTTGTTTGTTTGTTTGTTTGTTTGTTTGTTTGTTTGTTTGTTTGTTTGTTTGTTTGTTTGTTTGTTTGTTTGTTTGTTTGTTTGTTTGTTTGTTTGTTTGTTTGTTTGTTTGTTTGTTTGTTTGTTTGTTTGTGTGTTTGTTTGTTCGTGTACGTTCGTGTGGGTGGGTGTGTGTGCGTATGTGTGTGTGTGCATGTATTTCGTTCGTTTGTTGTGTTCAGGTTGTACAGCACCATGCGGTGACCATTCCCTGACCACATTGCATGCGTATTTCTGACTGAACCATCTGCACTTCGCTGACCACCACTGCCACCACCCATCGCATCACAGGGTCTGATCATTGACGCATTTGGTGAACTGCGTGATCGCATGGAAGCCGTCAAGCAAGCAAACGACAACCAGGTCCGTGCATTGATATGACAACACCATCACCAGCAATGTCACCCGATGTTACTGTCATTGTTGCTCGTAGTTGTTGTGGTTTCCTCAATATGGTGTTTGATCTTGTTTGTTTTTGAATTCACTCACGTAGCCATTCTTGCTCCCTTCCACCCCGTTCTGCGTGATTTTGCATGATTCATCAGTGCTTCATCTGCGGTTTGACGCGACAGGACCTTGACAAGTTGGTTTTCCTGCTTGTGCGAATGTGTTTGGCGTGGGTCTGTCCTGCGGTCTGGCTTCTCCGTTGTCTGCAACACACACACTCACACACACACACACACACGCACACACATTCACTCACTCACTCACTCACTCACACACTCACTCACTCACACACACACTCACTCACACACTCTCTCTCATGCACGCCATGGTGTGTGCACGCGTGTTGCTGCTGCCGCCGGTAGGACACCGCATGGGTTCAAGATGCACGTGGAGGAGGAGCACAACTTGGACTACTACCTCTTCTTCTTCATGCACCTGCTGCACAAGCCCGTAACAGAGCACACGGGCCAGGAGAGCTTTGTGTACGACCTTTACCGCAAGCGCGACTTCAAGTTCTTTCCTGTCGGCGAATGTTTC